ATGGCAATAATGAAGAGGGTATAAAAATCTGACAGGCAGTAGTAATAAATCACAAGAGAATAATCTACACTAATATCAAGCAAATCATTAGTGAAATGTTTATATCTTTATTGTGTATTCATTACAGRTCTGTAATAACTTTTATGTTGCAAGGGAGGAATTAATCTGAAATTCAGGGTTGATTTCTGGTTAATATAAATTAGCTTGAAAGTTTGAAGCATCATATAAATTTTCATATTTCACACAATACGGAAATAAATATTTTAGTGTAAATGGAGACACACACAGGCATGTCTGGGTATTTCTGTATTTCTCTGTATAAAGTGGATAAACCATGAGGATTGTTTCATATTATTTGGTGAAGCATTTTTATTAAGTTGTTATTATTAAAACAATATTAAGTAAAACAAGTTTGAATTTGTATTTGGTGGTGAAGTGCACAGTGACTGACAATCCATTGCTGTCTTTTTTTTTTAGGATAAAAGAAGTAAATGAAACCAACAAACGAGTAGAGCAGGAAATCAAAGTGGCTATATTCACCCTCATCAATGAGATCAATAAAAAGGGAAAATCTCTCCTGCAGCACCTTGAGGTACACTTAAAATAAAAAGTGATGGTAGTGTGGATTTCCCAGTCTTCTGTTGGAAGTCACATGTCTGAAAATTGTTTGGTGTTGTACCAGTGGTGTGGTGGGGTTCAGTCTCTGCTTCTCTCATCAGAGCCTGTGGCTCCTTCACTTTTGTGTTTATGCCTCACATTCAATGTCAGGCTCATTGTAAATTGAGTGTCTGAAAATCTTGTTTTCATGCTCTGTTGGCCATGTTTCTGTATTATAATTTCAATAATAATAATAATAATAATAATAGTAGTAGTAGTAGTAGTAGCAACATGATAATAATAGCAACGTGATTATAATAATAACAACAACAACATGATAATAATAATAACAAAACCAACATGTTTATAATTTAATAATTCCCTCAAATGGCTTTTTCAGGTTCAGATAAGAACAGACAGAGCAGTCTCCTATGTTTGTACACAAAGGTGTAATGCTGTTTAAAGTTTTGTAATACAGCATAATAAAGGAGACAATGAGTTCAAGCATCCTTTCCAGATGGCACATTATGAATAATAACTGTATCCTGGCTTTTATTAAAATCCATGAAAATTTAACTTTATATTACCATTTTATTTCTATTTTACTTATTATATGTAACTGAAGAGAGGAAATCCATTTTAAGGAGTTGCTTCAGTGCATGTGGCCAGTCCGGCATGACATGAAAAATTTAAGATCAAGTGAATCACA